ATATAATATATATAGAAGATATATTGTTTAATTATAAAAAATTTAAATTTATAGCTTTACAATTTAAAGAGTTAGAGAGAGGGTAACCTTTTCATGACCAGTACTGTAGTTTTATTCTTTTTTTAAAAAAAAATAAAATTTATTTACTGTATTATATTTGTTATGTTTCTATTTTTTTTTTTGGTAGAAAAATGCTCCAAATAAATGATTATCATATTATACAATAAAATTAAAAATTAAAATTGCTTTATGTTTATATATTTACAATAATACTAAAACACACCACTGGTGTTTAATAGTATAACATGAAGATTATTATCAAAACAATAACAAAAAAAATAAAACAAAATTAAATTAATAAATATTAAGTTAAAGCTAATAGTTAAAGATTAAAATAAGATAGTAAAAATTTTGTAAAGAATTTTTTTTTAAAAAAAAAAGGTAGTTTTATAGATAAAATTTTGTTAGAAGTATTTTTTTAAAAAAAATAACAAAACAAACAAAAATTTTAAATTATATCTAGAGTTTAAGGCATGTTTTAAAAATTAAACATTTTTTGAGTTGAAAGCATGTTTATAAAGCATACTTTTTTATGTTTATATAATAATAGGCCAATTATAAATATAAAAACAGTAATTAGTATGGTTTAAATAAAGAAAAATATTAAATATACTTATGTGATTATGCTTTGAGCTAAGATCTTTTTATATTTATAATTATTATATACTGTATACAGTATGTTTTTTTTTAAGAATAAATATATATATTGCACCCCCGTGAAGTTACTAATTATTGCTCTATTAATAATTATAACCCAACACAATGCATTCAGTTTCATCTTTAAATATATGCTATTGTGTAATCATATGCCCATGAAATGTAGATAAGTAACTTTGTTAATATGATATAAATGAAGCCATTCTCAAATACAGTAAATAGCGCTTTTCTTGGTTATATATAATTACATAATCACTACTGATAAATTGATAAATTAATGATGAAAAATTGCACTATCATGCGATGAAATATTAGATTGCATACTTGAAAATTTACATAATATGATACATATATTTTATTGTATACCAAAACAATTGTAATTATATTTATACAAATTTTTTCATCGCTTTTACCTCACCAAATTTTAGCTCCATATATCTGATTTTTTTCGCTTTCACCTTACCAAATTTAGAGCCTCTTAAGTTTGATTTATTTATCATTTTCAACCAACAAATGTAGGATTTTATAAGGTTTGATTTTTTTTATCACTTTTATCTCATCAAATTTAGAGCTTATAAGTCCAATTTTTCATTGCTATAATCTCACCAAATTTAGACTTTATAAGTCTGATTTTTTTAATTATTTTCACCTTACCAAACTTAGAGCCTCATAAGTCTAATTTTTTAATCATCTTTACCTTATCAGATTTTTTTATTGCTTTTTTACTAAATCTAAAACTCTATAAATCTAATTATTTTTTCATCACTTTTACCTTAATAATAACATGGAATTATATAAGACCATTACAACAAACTTTTCGAACTATAATCAGGAAGAGCTAATTGAAATGGAAAGATATGTTTGCTTTGATAATATTGCTGAAAGTTCTATGCAAGCATTGTCTAATAATGATACCAAAGAGAAAGCTGATAATAAGACATTGATTTACTGAGACTTAGAAAACCCTAATGGTGATATTCCGGTTAATACAGACAGTAAAGTAATAGTAACTTCAAAAGATATATCTGTGAGTACTGTGTTCAATTCTTGGACAGAAGTTGAAACTTTTTTTGAAGACTATGGGAAGCAAAATAGATTTGCATTAATTAAATATTGAGTAGAGAGAAATAAAGCTAGACAAATTTACAAATGAACTTTCTATTTGTAAATTTGGAGAAAAGTATAAATCTAACAAAAATTAAAATAGTATGCAAAGAAACACAAAAACAAAAAAAGTTAACTATTCATAGTATATAAACCTTTCTTACAGAGAAACTGGAACTCATATCTCTATTACCACGTTTGTGAATAAGCACAACTATAATATCAACTTGAATATCCAAGAATTTGGGTTTAAATACCATTCTCTTGATAAAAATGCTTTAAAAGAGGTGGAGATAATAACTAAATATAAGAATCTATCAATTATAGCACAGCGGAGTATACTAAAAGAGTGTTTTTCTAATTTGCATTTCCAAGATAGTAACTTTAATAATACTATTCAACAATTTAAAAGAAAAGAAAATTAACTCATTATTAATCACACTCTCCCTAACGATCATTTGGTACATAAATTTATAAGAAGAAAAGGACACAAAATATTATTTAAATGACAATACCTGGCAACTATACTGCAAAAGAAGAAGATAAAAGCCAAACTCTAACTAGTATATAAAGTCTCTGAACAGAAACAACAGCACAGAAAGCACAAAACCAAACAAAATAGAATTTTTAAATCAAACGTGTTAAAAAGAGAGGAAGAGCTACAAGAAAAGAGAAACTACTTTTTCAAGCTAGCTAAAACCATATACAGAGACTCAAGCTAACTTAAAAGAAACTCTAAACCTCAAAAAATTCATAAAGTATCAAGGCAGGACATAAAAACTACAACTGTCAAAACTACAGGATAATTTTGCAAAATAAAAGTGAGAAATCGGCATTTACCCTGTTCTGCAGATCCTTGGTAAAACACAAATCACTTGGTCACACAACATAAGAAAATGCTTACCCTATAAAGAAGACACATAAGAACACATAAAAATACATAATTGGTGTGAATAACACGTGACAAGGCAAAAATACAAGACTTTCGAGTAATCAAACCAATATGCCATCATTAGAAGTATTTAGAGGCTTTTTCAAACAAACAGAGAAGGAGAGAAGATTAATCTATGATAAACAATGTGCAACAATATGAAAAGAAGATGCACACGTAGCAGAGAACTTAGGTACAAATGACATACATTTTATAGCAGTAGTACACAATGTAATCAAAAAGTTTAAGTAGGCAGAAAGCAAAGAAGTTAGAAAACAGCCCCTAGCCAAAGAAGAAAAAAGACTTCTCGGTCATGATACAGATATTAAAATGCGTATGAACACATGTATAGAGGGCAAGGATGGCCCAATTATGATGAACTTTTGCTACATTAATACAAATAACACATATACTATAGAATTAGCAAATGAGCATAGTTGTAAAGATATCTTAAAAAACCCAGAAAATCCACAAAAGAGAATTCTGACAGAACAAGATAATAGTAGTGTCATAACAGAAGAAGATGT